TTTATCTATGTGTCAGAATGGTCAAACAATTGGCAACTCAAAAGATCAACCAAGAAATGCTCTGTCTTACACATTGGCAAAAAAACAAACAAACAAACAAACAAAAAACAGAACATCAAATATAAGCTGGGTGGAAACGACCTCGTAAACGACCCTTATTCTGTCAAGGATGTTGGAGTACTCATCTCAAATGATATAAGTGCCAGAGCTCACTGCAACAACATTGCCAAAAAGGCATTAAGAGTTGTTAACCTAATCTTGCAAAGCTTCTTTTCTGGTAATATTGTACTGCAAACTAGGGCATACAAAACCTTTGCTAGACCAATTCTCAAATACAGCTCATCTGCCTGGTACCCGCACTGTATATTAGACATCAATACAATTAAGCGAGTCCAGAGATATTTCAAGAGAAAAGTACTCCACTCTTCTCTTCACAACAGTATGAAAAGAAAGAGGTTGAGAATAACCTGCACTAATTGGTTTGTTATATATTTCAGACATTAAATATTACTCCAATTAACAAGTTTCTTTCTGAAATTCAAATGGTTCTTATTTCTCAAAATGGTTATCTTAAGGATCTTGAGAATTAAAGCATTGATACTTCTGTGTATGAAACAGCTACTAGTATTTTTTACTATATTGTTGGCCTTCCTAGGTAAATCAAATAGGAATTACAATGAGATCAGCTAATTCTACTTTATTGTAAAACTACATTGACAGTATCTTGAATGTCTGGAAGTATATTTCTCACCCTTCTATAGAGGCCAAGAAACTTTGAATCGCTTCCCCACTCCCACCATCCAGCTATTTTATTTATTTAGGAAATTTATGTTGCTGCCTACTCGCACATGGCTATTCAATGCTATTGTCTATGTTGTCTCCTATATGACTGGTCCATTGGCAGCATATGTTTAGTCATTCTTCCAAGATCTTTCTCACTTACCATTACATACACAGATCTATGGATCAACAAAATAGTTTGAAATAGAAAAATAATAATAATAAAAAACAAATCCTAACTGTTTTCACAATTACGGCATTGGCATTCCCTGAAAGAAAAGGGCAGGCATTGATGGATGGGAAGGACAATAAATGGGGTTTTTCAATCATATCTTGTGGTGGCTATAGTGGGATTAAATACACTACCAGCCCACTGCAATACAGCTGGAATTTCTGAATTTGTCTTAAGAATCACCCAGAAGCAATGGCATCATCAGAGCCCACAGCTGCCATAACCTGATATGAAAATTGTGTGTCATACAATAATGCTAAATTTGTAGGGCGAGGGGCAGGGAAACAGATGTAAATAAAAATAACTCATGATTCATCTGAAACTGTAAGTATGGACACCAGTCTTGGGCATAGGGGTAGGTGAATGCATAAATTGATTGCAACAATATTAACAAACCTTTATAAGGGGATGCTAAATGGAATTCTGCACAAGATGCTTTGTATCCCAGTTGTGAGGCTGATCCAATAGAAAATACTACTGCTGCTTCATACCAGGAAGCAACAAAGGCCTCAGTTAAACTGTGTAATAAACCCCAGGAAAACCTCCAAGCTACCTTGGAACTGCAGAAAAATCAACGAGAACTAGATAGTGACAAGGGGTAGATGGCAACATATCCCAACTCCATCTCCCACATAGCCAGTACCCTGAGCTAGTGTGTGACCTTTCATGTGGAGGGGTCCCAAGAAAAGTTGTGTCATCTCCATGGTTGTAAAGGTGGCCATGAATTCATGCATTGAGTCTACTGTAATGATGGTAGGTTGAAGTCCCCAGGTCTTGGAATCTTTACCATCAACTTGATGACAGCTTTGGGCAGGAAGGCTGCCAAACAGGATGAAGGCTGATATAATAGCTGAACTTCCAACTGATTCTTCACCTTACCTGCAGTAGCACCTAGGCTTATATATTGCTTCATAGTGCTTTATGCCCCACTCTCTAAGTAGTTTACAGAATCAGCATATTTCCCCCAACAATCTGGGTCTTCATTTTACTGACCTTGGAAGGATAGAAGACTGATTCAACCATGAGCCTGGTGAGATACCCGACGATCTGCAAGACAGAGTCCCTGACATCCTTCAGAGACTTCTATAAACTATGGCAGCATCCAGGGGTGGTATTGACTTACCTTTGCTACCAGTTCACAAATGTGATCATGTGGACCTTCTGCACATAACGCAGAGCATCAAAAATGGGACGTGATGATATCCGGGTGGGTGGGAGTAGCCTCCTGCAGCTGCTGCTACCGGTATACTCCAAACTGGATAAAACCAGCTGAATACACCACTGGTAGCACTCCTTTCCTTGCGGTTGGTGCCAAAACTGAAATTCTTCTGGACACATTTCTAGAAAAGGATATTCTCTTTTCTTTGCCCAGACAGGTCTCAGTAATCCAGCAACCTGGATGAGGTGAGCCTTTTCAAAGACTGACTTGGCATTTAGTAGCCACAGCTGGAGTCCATAGCCATTTGAGCTCTTGCTCTTTTTTTCAGAATAACCTTTCAATATCTTGCAATATATTGTTAAAATTCACTCCCCAATCATTATATTTCATTAGAAAGGATTAATGACTACAAATTTCAGTGAAGAATCTAGGAGGAAGTAAAAATTGTATGACCCTTAGAAAATGTCAAGAGAAAAGATAATGTAAGAAAAAAGAAAAAAAAATGAATATTTTCTCAAATTTTAATTCCTATTATTCGTAACCTGTTTTATAAGAGTAGCCCATCCACCCACTGAGGGAATTAAATGAAAGATCTGTGTGTTTTTTCAAACTGTCTATGCTTCAAAGTGACTAATGTACAAATTGTCAAGCGCAAGAGATCACATCCATATGTGACGATTCAGTGAAACTGATTTATTGTTAGTCATGCTTATACACTGGAATATTCTCAACTAATATTTATCACTTGCTAGGAGTTTAATAAGGATCAATGGAATTCAAGGTGGTAGAGTTGTATGTAGTTTGTTTGTGGCTACATTGAAATTCTGGACTAATCCTCCTTTTAACTCTGACCCAAGTTCTGCCACTTCTTCCCCTACATATGCCAATTTTTCAGCATGCTGATGGTAGAAAGCGTAGATGTGTTTTATAATTTGTGCATGAATGTGACCTAGTAGGAGGCATTCTATGAAAAATATTTTAAATGAGTCAACCAATCCTCAGAATGATTACACTCTAAATAGCATCACAATCCCAAGGAAGAAGAATGAATATGGGAATTTCCTTTTGGGTGTATAATTGAGTTGCCTGAGAAAATCAGAAAATCAACTGCAAATCTCCCAGGATTAATTAATTATATGTACTTAAAAGCACTTAACAGTAGAAAAAACTCTAGCTTGCCCAGAGAACAGATTTTCCAGCAGTGATGTGAGGAAACATCAATACTAAATTCTTGGACAATCTTTCATTAAAATATTGCTGAAAAAATATATATTTCAGTCATAACTATACGTTGAGGAAAGTTGAAGTCCTCTTTTTTCCATTCAAAGTTTGGATGACTTTTCACTTTGTATTAACCCATAATATTTTATTTCAATTCCATCTGGGAAGATAGTTTTTCTGGTCTGTAAATCATGGCACTGTAATTTCTTTAACAATATCTTTAATGGACAATTTAATAAAGCATAGTTCTTTTGTGAATATTACAAACTTACTGTTGGAATGTTTATCAACCTTTGGTGATTTAAAAGTGATTAGTGATAACTTTCCTAATTTGTTATAAGGATGTGTAATTCTTATGTAATTCTCTTCTTATTTTTCAAATAGGTATAATTCCACATCACTTTTGCAATGCTCTTGGCATGTTATCTTTTCTTCCGTATCATCTTTCTGCAAATGCTTCCTATGGTAAATAAACATTATTTTTTTTGGTGGGGTGGGGTTCCAAGACCGATTTATTCTAAAAATTAGAATATCTAATGAATCTTCTAAATTAAGGTTATTGAGAGTATCACATTGCTTTCCAGAAAAGTGATCCAACATTTTAGAATTGCTTATATCACCCTGATCACAATTTACAAATCTGCAGAAGCTAAATAGAAAGTGTGGTTGGCAGGGGGAAAGGAAATATAAATGTTTGATACCCTGAAGTATACTGATTCCCAAAGTAGACATGAAGAAAAGAGTGTTTTCTCTTTTAGCAGATAGCAAATCTAAGCTATCCTGCTATTTATTTATTTGTATCACACCTTTATTATTTTTACAAATAACTCAAGGCAGTGAACATATTCAGCACACCTTTCTCCTATTTTCTTCATAACAACAACCCAGTGAGGTGCATTGGCCCAAGGTCACCCAGATGCCTTTCATGGCTAAGACGGGACTTGAACTCAAAGTCTGTGCTTTCTAGCCTAGGATTTTCAGTGAATTAATTTTATTTGTTTATTTAGAGAATTTATATGACTGCCCACTCACTTTCACTGACTCTAGGCAGCTTTAAAAAAATAAAAATTCCAATATAAAAACAGTAAATTCACGCACCCACCCGGTGACAACAAGCAATCAAACACGTCACTTGATAGATTTTATCCCACTCTGGTTCCCCAGGCCTGTTGGCAAAACCAGGTCTTTAGGGCCTTGCAAAAGAGTGTCAAAATTGGGGCCAGTCTAATCTCTGCAGAGATGATGTTCCAAATGGAAGGACCACCAGAGAGAAGGCCCTTCTTGTCCTGCCAGTTGTACCTCCTTAGGAGAAGGAACCCACAATATTCCCTGCCTCCCTGTTCTGATGGGTCATTTGGATGTAACTGGCAAGAGATGGTCCTTCAGATTCCTTGGTTCCAAGCCATGGAGCCACTGCATTTTCACCCAATTGGAGCTTCCAGATTTTTTCAAGGGCAGCCTCATGTTGAGCACTAAAACTGGTATCAGATACCAGTATTCTGAGAATAATTTTAAATGTTCAAGAAATTAATAATAAAGGAGCATTTCATTTATCTGCCTTTGAAGCTATCCACTGTTTGTATTCTAGATATGATTAACATATGACAAATGGAAGAAATTCTGGATTCAGAAAAAGGAAACCAGACGAGCATCAAAGAATTTATTCTTCTAGGTTTTGGGACTCCCTCTGAGTTGCAGCCTCTCCTTTTCTGTTTTTTCTTGGTGATTTATTTGACAACAATAACTGGAAACCTTCTCATCTTTATTTTAATTGTGACTGATCAACACCTCCACACCCCGATGTATTTATTCCTGGCTAATTTGTCTTGCCTGGACACTTGCTATAGTTGTAATTTGCTGCCTAAAATGCTGGCCAGTTTGCTGACTGATAAGAAAACTATTACTGTTATTGGGTGCCTAGCCCAATATCATTTTTTCTGTCTTTGTGGGACCATAGAAACTTATATTTTGACTGCAATGTCTTATGATCGCTATCTTGCAATTTGTAGACCCTTGCACTATGGCTCTATTATGAATACAAAACTTTGTTTCCAGCTTATGGTAGGAGCATTGGTAAGCAGTTTAATATTTAATGTAATTTTTGTAGCTCTCATGACTCAATTTTCTTTTTGTGGGCCTAATGTCATAGACCATTACTTTTGTGATTTTCGTCCACTGGTGAAACTGTCCTGTACAGATACTGTTCTAGCTGAATGCTTCTCTTTTTGCATATCCATTATTTTTGTAGTTATTCCATTCCTGTTGAGCATCATTTCTTACACTTGCATCATAGCTACCATCATCAAAATTCAGTCCACCACTGGAAGGCAAAAGGCCTTTTCAACCTGCTCTTCTCATCTTATGGTGGTTTCCCTCTTTTATGGCACATTGATCATTGTCTACACATTGCCAGATATCCCTTCTCTCAGACAATTCAACAAAATATTTTCTATTTTCTATACAATGATGACACCTTTGTTCAATCCCCTTATCTATACTTTGAGAAACAAGGAAGTTCACAAAGCCCTAATACGACTTTTTGATAAAATTATAATTCTTAGTCTTTCTTTTCACTTTTTTAATTAGCCAAAGTTTTACTGGGGAAATGAAAATTTGGTATCAACAATAGGATGATAATGTATTTTCTTTAGCAGTATTACTTGAGAATTCAGAGTAGATTATGGAGGGACAAGATTGTTTCATGCCAGATTGCTCTTCTCTCCATATTGTTGAGGTAATTCTGCCTTAATTCCTGTTGCCTTTTCATGTATTTCCATGTATATTTGTATGTATATATGTTTGTGTAGCTAGATGATAGATAGATAGATAGATAGATAGATAGATAGATAGATAGATAGAAGACAGACAATCAGACAGACAATGTGTATGCATATGTATATATGTGTATCTATGTATCTGATTTTAATTACACTAATGAAAACTAATGCAGACTGAACCCAAACAGAGAAAGATAACTAAAAAGAGAGTAAAAGGAAAAAAAGAAAGAATAAAAAAGAAGAATACAAAGAAAAGGAAAAAGTGAAATAAAGAAACAAGAAAGAAATAATAAAGTAGTTACTTTCAATCTTTATTACAAGTATAAACAAATATGACAGCTCTTCACCACCATATAGTTACAAACAGAAATCTCTTCTTCTCATAATCTACTTCTTATCTATAAGCAACTTCATAAAATATAAAGTTTTCAATTCTATTGCCAGCAAAAATAATAGTAATCAGTAAATGATTGCCAGAATGTTATCAGGTGTCTTATTTTAATATTGATCAAATAAACCTGCTTTATATTGTTTTTACCTCTGAAAATCTTAATCTTTAGTTCATTAAAATATTCTCGTGGGAATTGATCTCTTTTTAAGGGTTTTACAAACCTCTTTTGTAATCCAGTAAAAAGACATCCAGATCTTTCTCTTGGTTTATAATTTGTATTTTCCCTTCTATTTTTAAAACTTCACCCACCTTTGTTTGTATATCCAATAAAGAATCACTATTCTGGTTACTCTTTTGATCTGCAAGTCCTGTTTCCACATTAAAAAAATACCTTCTGTTTTGTAATCCACAGTTTTTAAAATCCAATATTTGATTCCACTATTTCTGTGTCAGATAATGTCATTTCTTTAAACATTATCAACCCATATACACAGAAGCCATGTTGGCACACTGGTTAGTAATAACACTTAGACTTATAAACTTGTTTTACAGTGCTTTTACAGCTTTCTCTAAGCTGTTTTACAGAAACAGCATATTGCTCCCAACTGTCTAGGTCCTCTTTTTACCAACCTTGGAAGGATAGGAGGCTGAGTCAACCTGGAGCCAATGAGAATCTTATTGCTGGCATTCAACAGAATTAGCCTGCAATACTGCATAGCCATTGCACCACCATGGCTCTTAGAATGCAGTATTGCAGGCTGCCTACAGACACGATCCTGATGAACTTGAGGTTGACTCAGTCTTCCATCTTTCAGACATCTGTAAAATGAGAATCCAGATTATTGGGGGCAAACTGCTGAAAGAGTGCAGTAAAGCATACGGAGTGGTATTAAGTCTAATACTAATATGGCTATTAATTTTTGGTTCAATTCTTCAAAGATCTCCTTTAATATTTCAAAAGTTATAGTGTCTATGGAGATTCTCAGTCATCCACATCATGGTTGTCCCAGAGGTGCTTTTAAGAAGGCAAATGGATGTTCTTTATTTTTTCTTTGAAGACATTTCATGAACTGAAGAGACTTCTTGGATGAGAAGAAAAATGTCTTCGGGGAAAATACAAAGAAAGTCCAGTTGCCTTTTAAAAAGCACCTCTGGAACAACTGTTACAGTGCTTTGTTCTTTTTGTAAATTCCCAAAGTAGTTATTTTTTCCTCCTCTTTTTGCTGGTATCTAGTGTCGAATTTAAATCATAAGCTTTCTAATCTTTGTTATGATTCATAATAGACAAAATAATAGACAAGATAATGAAAAGCTGTTTATTTTATAAAATTAGTTTATTAGTTAGTGCAACTTACAGTAAAATGTTCAATATTCCAACTTTGTCTGAACACTTATAGTTAAAAAAGTTGTTCAGAAATGAAGAATGAAGATGAATTTCATTGTGATTTTTCAAACTTGTCATTTTTGAAAAACTCTTCAGATTTTAAGATGTTAGATAAATGATTTCTAAAAAAAGATTACAAGTGAAACTAGCAAACATAGTGTCCTTTAAATGACTCTGCTGTTGTTGAGAGCTTGCTGATTCATCTCTTTGTTTCTTATCATTCAAACTGATATAATGAGGAGCAGCTGTCCAGAGCACATGTGAGTGATTTCCCATCCTCTCCTTGTTCTGAAAGTTTCCAAAGAACCAGTCTGCTTGCTGGTTCTTTGGCCTTTGTTGTCTCTATTCTCTAGAGCAGAGGTGACAATGTCGTGGAGTCAAAGCGGCATCACCTGACGTATCAGGACTTCCTTCCTTTCACTAAACTGGGCAGAAGTGGGGCCAGTATGTGACACATCCGGCCCGTGGGCCACAAGTTTGACAGCCCTTTTTTAAAGAGACTGGTTTAATTCACTATACCTTACCAAATTCTCCTATTTGAGAAATTTCTTTTTGAATGGACACTTGATTTGAAACCTTCGTTTACATCTTCCTTTGTTGCCAAGATATAGATTTTTTTTCTGCGTTCAGTTTTTCATTGTATTATATATGTATTTTCTTGTTTAAATGTGCTTTAGTATCTTTAATAATTCTAACAAAAAAATAGTGAAATTGTGCTTGATATTTTTTTCAAAAAGAGAGCTTTTGCTACCACCCCAGTCATTATATACCACATCAGGTCAATGATTCCAAGTTTCATTGAAGATTCCAAGAAGAAACTTTTTTTTAAAAAAAATGATCTACAGAAAAATACAGGAAGCTTATAGTGCAATATAAGAAAATTTGGAGAGAAGAATAAGCAATAATTTATAAAATTGAACTATCTAGCGATCATAGCACAAACAATATGGTTTCTGAGGACAGTGTATCATCTAAATGAGGAAAATAAATGCAAAATGTATGGTCCTTGCCTTTTCCTTGATAGAGGATGACTAATGAATAAGCCAAATTTTCAAAATGCTGATGACAGCATGGATTTTATTTTTCTGACTGAATGTGATCCTTTGTACTCTCAGAATGACTTGCCTGAAAATTTTCAAATGCTCAGAAGTAGAAAGCTCTAAATAACACAGAAATCCCAGGGAGAAATCTCCTTTAGGGTGTATAACTGAATTGCACCAGTAAACCAGAAAATCACTATCAAATCTCCTAGGATTAATTAATGACATATTGATAGAAACACTTCTATATTATAGCAGCCAAAGCTCCAGCTTGCCCAGAGAACAGCTCCTTCACAAATCATTTGGAGAAAAATCAATACTGAATCTTTGTGAAAGATATAGTGGAGGGAAATTCCAGTTTCAAAGCAATTATACATTAGAGAAGAATGATGCACTTTTTCATGGCAGTCTTTTCCATTACAGCTTGAACGGCTTAGCACATTGAACTAAATCATAATATGTTTTCTCATCTTGATCTGTGAAGTTAGCCTTTGTGGCTTGTAAACCTTTTACCACATGTGTGAGCTGAGATTCTGTTAAAATATAACATGCATTTGTGCAATGTGTAAAGCCATCCCAGGGAAGATTAGTCCAAATGAATGGGATTCTTTTTTTCTTTGTGAAAATATATGATGTTTTTCTTTGGAGAAGATAACCTTCTGGATGCTTAAAAAGATATTTCCTTGTGCCACAGGTGACCTTATATATGATTTACTACTTCTGAATTGATAACATATGTAAAATTTAATTTAGGAATGGCTGAAGAAAAACATTTGTTTTTTTATCTAGCAAGAGATCAGTTTATCATTTTCATTCCTGTTAAAGTTTTATTACTGATAAGGGAATTATGAGATAGTGTGGTAATAAAATGCAGATTTTTTTTCCAGCACTGCAGTTGAAAAATTAATAGAGTTCTATGAGTAATATTTTATTTTTTATGCCTTTGTTTCAATGTTGATTCATAGTTACTGGTTGGGTAAATTCCTCTTATAAAGCTTTTTTCAAATAGGTGAAAATATATATATTAAAGTTTAGTGTTAAACATTATTTGTGGTAAATACCAGATTATTTGATTAATACTACATTTTATACTGTAACTATGTTTCACAGTACACAGTCTTTCCCACTTTTCCCCCAAATAAACATAATTACAGTGTGTTTAGTGTTCCATCTTTTACAATGTATTAGGCATGTTATTAAGTCCAGTCACTTTTTCTTTGGTACATTTCTTCATCAGTAACGCTATCTCTCTCTCTTTTTTAATTCAAAGATTAAATTACTACAAAAAATAGAAAGGATTGTGTGGAAACAGTTACTGCATATCTATAACCAGAATCATTTTGGATATATGTATCACAAGAAATACCCTAGGGAAAAAAAATGTGTAGCTTTTAAAGAAAGGGATCCAAATGTCATTGAATTATTTATTTCAAATTGATCACATTTTAGAATTTCAGGGAGGTATACTTAGAAAAGAAAAGAGAAATGGAAATGTTTGATTCAATTAAACTGCTCTCCAGCATAGGCGTGAGATAAAAGTATGATTTTGCTACTTGTAGTGTAAAATCTCAGTCACTCTGTTATTTGAGTGAAATAATAATGAATAACAGCTAATAACATTTACAAAATATATTTAACAAAATTTAAGAAATCATAAGGAAATTTAGCATAAAACTGCCTTTCAACATGACTGCTTCTTGACATATGTTCTAGATTTTATTGACATTTGATACATGGAAGAAATTCTGCTTATTGAAAATGGAAACAAGACAAGTGTCAGAGAATTTATCCTTCTGGGTTTTGGCAATTCTCATCAGCTACAGCCTTTCCTTTCCACATTCTTCCTGGTGATTTATCTGATCACAATAACTGGAAACATCTTTATCTTTCTGCTTGTTCTGGTTGATCAGCAACTTCACACACCAATGTACTTCTTCCTGGCAAATTTGTCTTTCCTGGACACTTGCTACAGCTGTATCTTGCTGCCTAAAATGTTGGTCAGCTTGTTGACTGGTGAAAGAACCATTTCTGTCCATGGATGCCTAGTGCAATATCATTTTGTATGTCTTTGTGGAACTACAGAAACATACATCTTGGCTGCAATGTCTTATGACCGCTTTTTGGCAATTTGTAGACCTTTACACTATGCTTCCATTATGAACAAGAAGCTCTGTTTCCAGCTTATGGCTGGGGCATGGATAAATAGTTTGATATTTGATGTGATTCTGGTGAGTTTTACCACTCAATTATCCTTCTGTGGGCCTAATGTCATAGATGATTACTTTTGTGACTTTCGTCCATTGCAGAAATTATCATGTACTGACACAAGTCTCATTGAATTAATTGCTTTTTGTGAAGCTGTTATTTTCATAATTGTTCCATTTCTGTTGACCATTGCCTCCTATGTTTGCATCATTGGCACCATCATCAAAATCAAATCCACCACTGGAAGGCAAAAGGCCTTTTCAACCTGCTCCTCTCACCTCTTGGTGGTTTCCCTCTTTTATAGCACATTAATCATTGTCTATGTGTTGCCAGACACTGCCTCCCTCAGACCTTTGAATAAAATATTTTCCATTTTCTATACGGTTATGACATCCTTGTTCAATCCTCTTA